AAGCATTGAGTTCAATCCTCAGTGCCATATAAAAAATAAATTAAAAAAAAATAAAAGTGTTGTGTCCATCTACAACCAAAAATATATTTTTTTAAAAAAGTATTTTAGAAAACATTTCTCTGGAGGTGTTTTAGAAAACATTTCTCTGGAGGAAGCAGAAGTCTTCATCCCAGGAACTTCACAGAATTACCCAACTTGTTTGGGCCAGACCATCCACCCAAGAGGTAGGTTCTCAGGAACCCTATTTGCCAACCTCCATGCCATGTTCCCACTCAGGAAGGAATTCCAGCTCCAGGCCCTCAAAAGAAAAAGCCAAGCTCATGTTAGGCCTGGCCTGAAAAGGGCAGCGGACTGTGGATTTTATACTGGTGAGCAGGAGGGAAGGCCAGTGCAGCCTGAAAGTGAGCTGTAAAACATTTATCATCCAGAAAACTATCATTCTGCATTGCATGGGTCTTAAAAGTGAAGAGAGGACTGGGGTTGTAGCTTAGTGGTAGAGTGCCTGCTTAACATGTGTGGGGCACTGAGTTCGATCCTCAGCACCACATAAAGATAAATAAAAGTATTGTATCCATCTACAACTAAAAAACAATTTTTTAAAAAAGTGAATAGAGGCTGGGCGTGTTGGTGCATGCCTGTAATCCCAAATGCTCGGGAGGCTGAGGCTGGAAGATGGAGAGGTCAAAGACAGCCTCAGTAAGAGCGAGGCAACTAAGCAACTCAGTGAGAACCTGTCTCTAAATAAAATACAAAATAGGGCTGGGGATGTGACTCAGTGGTCAAGTGCCCCCTGGGTTCAATCACTGGTACCCCCCACAAAAAAATTGAATAGATAGCAGGGCACAGTAGCACATGCCTGTAACCCCAGTGACTCGAGAGGCTAAAACAGCAAGATTGTAAACTCAAGGTCAGACTCGCTAACTTAATATGATTCTGTCTCAAAATTTAAAAATAAAATAAAAAGGGCTAGGAATGTAGCTCAATGGTTGAGTGTCACTGGGTTAAAGCCTCAGGACTGGGAGGGGGAAAAAAAGTGAATGGACACTAAAACCCCCAGGAGAGGTTGTTAATGCTGATTCCTGGGTCTTGCCACAGGCGAGGGGTGAGGCCCAAGATTTTGCATTTCTGACAAGCTTCCATCTGTCCAAGCTTTGTAAACCAGCTCTAGTCTTCGGTTAATCACCATTTTCCAGATAGGGAAACCACCATCAGGTCTACTCTGTCATCTCAGCAACACAGTGCCAGGTATCAGTCACTTGAGTGGGTGACATTTTGCCCAAATGACATCACCCAGCTCCTAAGGTGGAAAAAGACGTAGTCTACACACATCCCCAGCGATTCTAATCAGCACCTAAATTTCATTAATTCACTCAATATTTAGTGCCAACATGTGCCAAGACTTGCCCTAGGTACTAGGGACTATCCCCCCAGCTCACCAGCCACCCTCTCTACCACGTATGAGCTTGCAGTCTAGTGCCCATCCAAAGGGAGAGACAGTGATCAGAAGGGGACAAGACAGGATGGTGACTCTGCCTCACCCTCCTCCTCAACTTCTTTCTATCCCAAGTCAACAGAGGGCAACACCCTTGATTTTTCTCCCTTCCTTCTTCCCACCACTGAGAGATTTCACAGGTGTTTACTTTGCCATCTCTACTCTGCCCCCAGGTCCTGATTACCTCCTTCCTAAGGAGCTGCACCCACACCCTGGAGTCTCCTCCACTCCATCCTCAGCCCCTCCAACCCAGTAGTCAGAAAAATACAAACCTGGATCATGCTAGCCTCTCTCTGCGAGCCTCAAGGACTTCTTAGTCTCCCTCAGCTACTTCTAGTCACCTGGAATTCCTTCCCTCTCACACTGTCCCCAAAGCTGGCTCCCTTCCATCTCCCAGGTCTTAGCATAAACACCACTTCCTGAAGAAGTCTTCAATGCAATGACTACCACACTACTCAGTGTGAAGGATGAAAGAGCACTGCCAAGCTCTTAACACTCCTCCAATGAGAGGAGGGCTTCATCTCCCCTCCCATGAAGCTGAACTAGAGCTGAAATTGCTCTGACCAATAGGATCCAGGGGATCAGGTCCGGGATTAGCCTTTAGGAGCTCCATGGAAGCCATCTTGCTCTCTCCCAGTCCTGAGCTACTGGGTCTAGAGTCTGACACTACATGGAGAAAGTGGCCCAGGCTTGTAGCCATTCCCATCAAAGCACTAGGCATGTGAGTAAAGCCATCTTGGACCCTCCAGAGCAGATAAGCCACCAGGTTAGTATCACTGAGCAATTCCAGTCAATGCCACATAAAGCAGAAGAATCACCCCACTAAGTCCTGTCCACATCCCTGACCCATTAAATCAGGAGAGACATCAAAAGTGGGCATGTTGCTATTACACAGAACAGACAACCAGAATGCTCATCTTGAAAATCATTTGACTGAAGTTTGTCTTTTCTTTTATTTAGCTTTTTAAGCTTTATTCTTCAATTATCTCCTCCACAAATATAAATTTCACCATGGCAGGAATCAAGATTATTTTGCTCACCACCATAGACCTGAAGACTGGAATGCAGTAGATGCTCAGTAAATAAAAAGTGAATAAGTAAAGAGGAACATATGAATATTGTGGGCAGACAGGGAAAGGCACCAGGTCAGAATCAAGGGAAGTTTCCAGAGCAAGAGACATCTAAATGCTGAGGGCTGATGGTTCAAAGGCACAGCCACTTGGGTGCCTGAACCAACCATGCCAAATTACAGCATCCCTGAGCTATGCCCTTGACTCAGTACTCAAGAGCAGAAACTGTGCTTTATTTACCTTAGTGTTGTCAGCACTGGGCCCAGTCCCAGGAAGAAAGAGGCCTCAATACATGCATTTTAAGTAAAAAAAAGGATCCCATGGCTTCTTGGAGAGAGAAGCCAACCTGGAAGACAGGAACCCTGGATTCTCAAGCCCAACAGCTCACTCTGTGTCCTTGGTCAAAGAAGCTACTTGGCTTTTCTGGCTTGCAGTTTGCCTGGGATAAAACCATGAGTTCCCTCACTACTCCCCTGGGTTATCATCAGGATTATGAAACAGCAAAGATGTCAGGGTTGTTAGAGTAGAAGCACGAGCTGATAGAAAAGAAACATGACAATATTGCTCTCCAAATGCTCAGCCTGCCCCAGGGAGACCCAGTCATCGCCAGAGCCTTTCTTTGACTCCTGTACAAAACTCAGCCCAGGTGAGTCTAACCCAGAACACAGCACCTCCTGGCAGCTGTAAATTTTCCCATTGTGCAGGTGGATAGAGATCAGCTAAGAGACGTGGCCTACAGAGCAGAGAGAAGCACACTGCACTTAGAGGAAAGGGACCCAGGTCTCTGTCCCAGTTCTGCCTCTAATTTGTTGTGAGATCTGGATAACTGGATTCCCTCTCTGAACCAGATCTCTCAGTCAGAAGGGACTGTACAGACCAAGTAAGTAAATCCCTTCCTTCCCTTCCTCCTTCTCTTCCTCCAGCCCTCCTTTCCTTCCTTTGTTCTCCTTCCTTCCTTTCCCCTCCCTCCCTCCTTTCTTCCTCTATTTCTTCTTCCTTCCTGTCTGCCTTCCTCTATTTCTTCTCTCCTCCTTCCTTCCTTACTCCCTCTCTCCACTGCTTCTCTTTCCTTCCTGCCTGCCCTTCTCCATTTCTTCTTCCTTCCTTTCTTCCTCCCTCTCTTCCTGTCATTCACAAATATCCCATCTCTGCCCAGAACTGGACCCATTGCAGTGAGAATAAAACAAGTCCTAAGCCCTGCACCCAAGACTGAGAAGCTATTTGGCCTGAAAACTCGTAAATGGAGATTCTGTAGACAGCAGGACAAGGCTTTTCAGGATGGTCAGGATGAAAGACCCAGGGCACAGCACAGCTCCTGTGCCCTGATCTCCAAACAAGAAGTGGTCAGGGGTCAATCAGTGCCCTGGAGTCAAAGGTGAGTCCGACATGATCTAGAGACTCTCCCAAAGCCATCAGGGGCTGCATGAGCACATTAGCATTGTGCAGAGGGCCTGCCCCAGCTGCACAGGCCTAGGCGACACCTTAATTAGACTTTCAAATTGTGACAGGCAGCCTGCCTGGCCCGACTGCCAGCTGGGGCTCCTGTTCCGTCTGGTGGCTCCCTTAATGAACCCATGGGGAGCTGGTCAAGCTCATTACAGGCTATGCAAGAGAGCAGGGGACCTTCCCCCCCACCCCATGTCTCCAGTCCCACCTCTCCCCCTCTCTCCCATGTGCACACTTAGAATGGGGAGAGAACTGACTCCCAATCAAGAGGAAGGAGCACATGGAGATGGGACCCAAGCTCTCCACACTGCCCTGTCTCTGCAGCCCAGGATGCCAAGGAGAGGATGGCTCCAGAGTCAGCTCAGCCAGGGCTATGATTTGCAGCTGCAGGGTTCACAGCCTGCCAAATCAGATGGGGCCTCTATACACTCAGAGGTTGGTGTGTGAGAAATCACAACTGGGGAAGATTTGTGTGTCATAAATTAGTAAATAAGGCAGGGAAAGGGTTCTGGTCCTCCAGGGGAGCAAGGAAGAGGAATGCTTTGAGAACCCATTCCATGGAGAAGAGATTTTAAGGTCATTGTGCTGGAGGAATTTAGAAGAGGGCTGGCTGTTACCCAGTTAAAACACAACTAGACAGGGTCAGAATGTCCTGAAATGAGGCAGAGGTCTCATGTGGGTGGAAATGAAGGTTAATCCATGCCTGGACTTGATAGGATAGTAATAATAAAAGCAATATTAGTGCTTACTGTTTATGACAAATACTTTCCTTGGGCTACTCATTCTCTACAGCAACCTATGTAAGAACTATTTTGGTCTTTCACTTTATGCACTGGGAAAACTGAGGCTTGGAGGTATAAGTAACCTGCAGAACCAGCATCTTACAGGACGCCCTTTGCCTCTAACAAGTCCCAGTATGCTTTACCACCAACTGCCCGCCCAGTCCAGCGTGGCCCCTCGCATCTCTTGGGACCCCACAGCCAACTTCTCACTTGAACTGGTGCTCCCGGGAGCTACGGATTTTGGAAGAGAACCGCTCGGCCAGCTTCTCCAGGCTGCGGGAGTACTCAAGCTCAATCTCAGCCTTCCTGCGGAAGAACTCCTGGAGATCTTGAAGCAGCTGCAGCCGCGACTCTGACTGCTGCTCCAGGCATTTGAACTGCTCGACCAGCTGCGTGCGGATCTCTGCAGAAGCAAGAAGCCAAACATTAGTTAGGCTGCTGGTGGGGACAGTACTGGACCCACCCTGCTGATCCAGCAATGCCAGCTCAGGCACTACAATCTAAACAGCCCCTGCCTTGCAGCCCCGCATGATCCCTAGAGCCTCTTGGACCTTGGTTAGACCCCAGACCCTGCTCGGCAGAGCATTAGTGCAAAGAGTTGACACATGCCATTTTGGCCACTCAATCTAACCCCATGTTTCCCAAACTTGAATCACTGCATGTTGCCACCACAATTTTTACCATACCCATAATGCCACCAGCTAAATTATTATTTCTTCCATATAATCAAGTAGATGGACTCACTTTTCTTACTGATGTGAACTTGCTTAAAATGAAAAGCTGCATATCATTATAGTAAAGTGGAGAACCAGGAGCAGCCTAGGACATAGGAAATGAGTTCAACAAAAACAAGAATTCTGTACAATTCTGTCTAGTCAGTTCATCGAAGGCCCCTCTGCCTCAGCTGCTTACTCTTTAGCAAGAAAGGGAAACGGCAGCCCGAGAGGGCTAAAGAAAGATCTTCTCCAGGTACAGTGAAGACAGAGAAAGGGCTGTGAAGGGGATGCTGCTTGCTCTTGGGTTTCAGTGTTATTCAAGGCCACGGCTGTGTTCTGCTTTAAATTACCTTGAATTCCATGTATAAACATCTCAAGTGCTACTAGAAGAATGTAGCCCACTTCAGGAAATATTGATGGGGCAAACCAGGTCTGTATTACCAGGACAAAAGTTCAAGAGCTGGGAGTCAGACTTCAAAATTACAGCCAAGGGCTGGGGTTGTGACTCAGTGGTAGAGCGCTTGCCTTGCATGTGCGAGGCCCTGGGTTTGATCCTCAACACCACATAAAAATAAATAAATAAAGATATTGTGTTTATCTACAACTAAAAAAAATTATTTTTTAAAAAAATTGAAGCCAAATGCTCATGACTGCAGCCAATCTCATCTTCAAACCCTAATGTTGTCACTGCCACCATCCCCATGTAGCGAACTCCTTCTCTGACATTCCTGAAGTTCTCAATAGATCGTCTCTCCAAAACACTCTTCTCATACCAGCAATCCACTCAGAAATACCTCTGCCTCAAGATTAAGTCCAACTCCTTAGCCCAGAATTCAAAGCCATTCAGCACCCTCTCCCAAATGTTACTGCTCAGGACTTCTCTTCCAGTGGAGCCTCCAAATCTGTCAATCCAGTCCTTACAATGTCCAATCTTACTTGCTCAAATGTGCACCCTATCTGACATAGTGACTCCCAACATTTTAGCATCCTTTGGAAAGTCGATCTGCAAAATGGGGCAGACCCTCTCTGTAGCATACAAAGATACCCCAGGGGATGTGCAGGCAGAGTTACAAATCCACCTCAGATCCTCAGCAAGAAGTGTCCATTCCCACTCTTTCTTAAAACCGCTCTGCCTAAGAAAGTGCCGCTATCTAGATGGTGTGAAACTCTCCCTCTTCACAATGGTCCTGTTTCCTATTTTACAGGAGGAAGAGCAACATTTCATGCATCCAGAATCTGAATGTGGCACAGCACCCCAAAGTGTCAAAAAATCTGGGTGTCAAAACAGGGAGGGACAAATCAAAATGTTGGTGCTAGCAAATATTTTTTTAATCAAGGACTATAAATTCTTGCTCTCAAAGTATGGTTCATGGTCCAGAGGCATCACCATTACTTAAAAACATTGAACTGCCCAAACTCACCAAGACGTATACATTAAATGTATGCTACTTTCTGTATATCAATTATACTTTAGTAAAGCTAGAAGAGAAGAAAAAAACAGAATCTCAAGCCCCAGCCCTGACCTGCTGGATCAGAATCTGCATTTTAATAAGTTCCCTGGGTCATCCTTATGTACCTTGAAGTTTGAGCAACACTGTCATCTCCCACCCCATCCATTTTATTATGAGAAACATTTCCTACAAAATATTACTTTGTATGTCTAATTGTCTATGAAATTTGCAAAGTATTAATATTATTTTAATGAACTCTTTATTAGCAATCACTAAAATGATAAATTAATCCAAAGGAAAGATCCTTAGAATTGTATGGTCAAAGGACAAATGTAAAATGTTCATTTCAACTTACATATACGTTTGGGATAAAAAGAAGTATGATAATTGATCAAAAATTAAACCATAACACATTAAGGTAAAAGTCTGTGAAGGAAGTAGGAGGGAATTATGAACTTCAGAAGACAAAGGACCAATGTAAATATTTCTTACTTGTTTGGTTATTTTTTTCCTTCCTCTGTGTATGTGTGTATATGTACAGTTCTGGGGATTGAACACAGGGTCCCAGGGCCTCAAACATTGAACTACATTCCACCTTTTTAAGTTTGTTTTTATTTTGAGTCAGTGTCTCCACTAAGTTGCCCAGGTTGGCCTCAAATTTACAATCCTCCTGCCTCAACCTCCTCCTGAGTAGCTGGGATTATGGATGTGCACCACCACAGCTGGCTTATTGGTATTTTTGCTGAACAACAAAGGATTCCAATGTATTATGGTATTTATCATATGACCTGGCAATTCCACTCATTCCAAAAGAAATCAGTGCTTATTTCCACCCAAAAATATATACAAGTATAGTAACTTAATAGGCAAATATTAGAAATGCCCCTAGATATCCAGTAAGAGTAGAAGGGATTTTTTAAATGTGAAATAATGATTGAGTGAAATACTATTCAACAATGAGAATGTACTACTACTAACTTGCAGAGCAGTCTTGAAACCCACAGACCTTGTGTTTACTGAAAGCAGCCAAAACAAATGAAATCATGAAAAGCTAGTTTATCATGATAGAGATGAGAGAAGTGGTCACCTTTGAGGGGTTATTCACTGAGAGGGGGCAAAGATGCTTTCCAGAGTCCTGGAGATGTCCCTCAACTTGATTTAGCGGGCAGGGACAATGGTAAAAATTATTGAGTTTCACAATTAGGATCTGTGCATTTTACTATTTACATATGATACTTCAATAAAAAGACAAAATAAAAAATTGCTGTTACTTAGTTTCCATTGATGGTGCTTGTTTGTGGTACTGGGGACTGAGCCTAGGGCACTTTACCATTGAGCTACATCTCTAGCCACCCCCCTGCTTTTTTTTGTTTGTTTGTTTTTTTGAGACAGGGTCTTGCTAAGTTGTAGAGGCTGGCCTCTCAAACTTGTGATCCTCCAGCCTCAGCTGGAGGCTGGGATTACAGGCGTGCACCACTGCACCCAGTTCCATTTGATGGAAGAGTGGTGTAATGTTAATCTAAGATGTCAATATTTAAAACACAGCAGAAATACATCCTTTGTAGCTACTTAGAATGAAATATTTTAGGTGTCAAGTTAAAATGTGTGAAGGGGAAGAGATTGTTTTTCCTCAAAAAGTTCATTTAGAGGGTAGGCAGCCAAAAAAAAAAAGGGGGGGCAGAAAACCACAGCTTTGGAACCCACGTCAAGCACAGCTCCTCCTCCAAGGTCCTCGCTGCTGCCCTGGGGCTTCCTCTCAACTCCCCACAGACTCCCACTTGCTCTCAGACTGCCTGGCAGTGCTTGGTTATGGTGTGCTTGTTCCTTCGTGTATGCATGTCATATCTGCCATGTCCTCAAAAGAAACTTAAGCTCTGAAGGCAGATTCTCCCAGCATACACAGTAGGTCATCAGGGTATCGGTATCTATACAGCAAACTGCCATTCACCTTCATCAAGTGCCTTTGCCCAAGTGCACTGATTACGACAGCCTCAGCTGACACAAATGCATACCTACACACATACACCACATACGCACAAAACACACAACACATACCACACACATCATGTACACTATACACTACTCTGAAAATGCTTTCCATGTTTTGTTCCAAAGATTTTTAGACCATCGGCTATTATCATAATCCAACAATAAGTGCCAGCGCAGGGAGAGTGGCAGGCCCAGCCCGAGCACTTTAGGTGCTTCCCCAACGTGGGCTGCACAGGTGCTTCTAGTGTTCCCATTTTCCCCCCATAGGAAAGGGAATAGAGGCTCAAGAGATGTCACCGGCCTGTGACATCTACATTGCAGAGCTCGGGATCAACCCCAGATCCCTCAGAAAGTGACAATAATGTTCTCCACTGTATGAAAGATTGGCGTCCCTACAGAGCTCCGTGGCCTGTGTTTCGTGGATTAGCCTTGTTTTCCAGATTAAAACAAAACAGAAAGCACCTTCTGCCCATCTGTATTCTACCTCTTGCATCCTCTTCCTGACAAGACGAGAGCCAGAGGGATCGTCCTTACTAGAAATGCTACAGCCGCTGCCTTCTCCCTTCCAGGGTATCATCAGGAGCCAGTGTTCTCATATTTTAGAGGAAATGCTCATAAATCACGTTGTGATGATAGGAGACAATTTGGAAGGAGCAGAGAACTTCCCCAGTTTGCACAACCAGCTGGGGCCTTCCAGGCAGGGCCCTGAATGGCCTGCCAGCATTTTGGTCAGGTCAGAGCCAAGGTTTTCCAGCAAGAAAAGGCCCCAGAAGGAGCATCCTCTGTAGCCTGCTCTGGTTCTGCAACTCTCAGGGGATCTGACTGCCCATCTCGGCACCTCTAACTCCCTTCCCAGTTGCTGCTAGGAGCCGGCATGGACTTGACATTTCTCCTTGAAGATTTCAAAGAGAGAGGAAAACAAAAAAATAAAATAAAATACAACAGATTGTTCCCATGGCCTTCGTTCAGCCAATGTTCCCCTGAGGAGACAGATCCAGCCTCAGCACAGCGCTGAGTGGCAGAAAAATAAAAAGGGGTGGGGCAGGAAGAGGAAGGAGAGTTGGGATAGGCTTTGATCTCAGAACCATTGAGCTGAGGATGACCTCAATGATCACTTATTACAACCTCTTAGTTTCATCAACTGGAGCATGAGGTCCAGAGAAGGGGCAGAACTAATGCAGCAGCCCTGGTCCCTGAAGCATAAATCTATGTCACTCTCCTGGTATAATTCTCCATAGCTTCCCATT